TGTTCCTTATACAGAAGTCAAATTGGCACTCATCAATTTAATCTGTGTGAAGGTTCACATACTACCTATATTGTAATTACTGACAGTTTAATCATGATTCATATGATGAAATTCTATACAAGGCTTAAGTTGCCAGCTGCAAGTTATAAGAAAATCTCAGATTTGAATTTTTTTTTTTATAAGAACTTTCTAGCCCTGAAAGAATGAGACAAAATGCTGAAAAATACATCAGAGTATTATAAACACTTAAGAGTTCAAGGGAAAAAAACATCCAGACTATATTGCTTCTAAATGTCTTTTCTTATTAGCAACCCTATGTTTTGGGGGTTTGTTTGTGGACAGTTTTTTTGAGGAGAAGTAGAGGAGAAAAGGAGAGCAGAGGAGTTTGGGTGGCTGGTAATATTTTTCACTAAAGTAGTAGCTGAAACTGCTTGTTTTTCTTTCTTGCCTTACTTGTTTTTGCAGTGAGTTCTCTGCCATGTGTCACAGTCTCCAGGAGATCAACCATTCTCAGACGGTTTTCCATCACCACATTATTTGCTGAATCATAGCGCCCATTTTCCAGAGTTCATTAAGAAACATAGTAACAAATAATATGGTTCATGCTTTTTCCCAGCTTTTTTCTAGATTCAATGTCTGTTTGTGACTCTCATAGTGTAAATAAAATATTTCTTATATTTTGAGAATACAGGATAGAAGATTAGTCCAAGTCATAGAAAGGTTTTTTGGTTCCAGGACATTTGGATGTAGTTGCACTGACTGTCTTTAACCCAAACATGGTAATCTCTTTGGGGTTCCTCTGGTATCAATAGGAGACAAAGAATGAAAGACAATCCAGAGTGTCAGATTCCAGCAATAAATTCTCCAACTTAATTTGTTTCCATTGTAAGAAGGCTGTATTTATAACATCCACAGGGGTTGATATTTATAATGGATTAGTATTTATAATATTTATATTATTTTTGTTTGTATTTTTATGGATTTTTAATATTTATTTAAATGTATAATAGTGTAATGTTAACTTTATTAAGTGTAATCTTGACCAAAATAAAACTAAGGGAAATAATATAGAATTTTACAGTTTTTAATAAAAAGTAATTACTCATATTTTTTGAAAATAAATTTGACAGCATGTGTGATATTTAATATCTTTACTACACTTTTTGTAATTTTTTAAAGGTGTACAGTCCTACCTATACAAATGCAATACTGCAGTTTTCCCCAAGTTAATAAAAATAAACCTTTGAATGAAGTCAGTAAAAAAAATTGAAAGATGTTCAGCATTTTTTTTTTTAATTGAGGAGGTATATTTAAAATTTCTCTGGCATATTTACTGGTAATTTTTTTTTTTTTTTTTAATTTATTTTGAAAAATCTAGCTGGTCACTGTGGTATTCCAGATCTTATAGTCAATGGCCAAGTAATCGGAGAAAATTATGGATATAGAGACACAGTTGTATACCAGTGCAGTCCTGGTTTTCGCTTGATTGGTTCTTCTGTACGAATATGCCAACAGGATCACAACTGGTCTGGTCAGCTTCCATCCTGTGTGCGTAAGTAAGCATGGCAACACATACTGATTTATGTCACAGGAATGTCTATGTCAGACAAGATAAGGAGTGACTTTGCAACTTAGTATTCATTTTTCAAGAAAAAAGATTTAAAGCAGTATGTGGCCACCTAAAATCTGTGATTCATCTATCAGATGAAGTTTAATGTTGTCACTTAAAATTTCCATTGTGTCTTTTGTCTACTAAATACCTGTCATTTATATATGAATATCAGACTTCTTCAAAAAATGATGGGACTTAGGCACCCAAGTACTCAAATTTGAAAATAGCTTTTTATGTCCCTTAGTGGCTTTTGGAAATATTTAATGTACATTTACTTTGATTGTGGTAGTTAAATAAGTAGATACTCTTGAATTACACTGTCAGCACTGATGATTATAATGTTTGCTTCAACAAACTTTTTTTTTTCTCTTCTCACAGAGATATTTTGTTTTCTGGTTTGAGTTTTGGCTTTTTTAGCATGAATTTTGTATTTTGTTGATGAGGCTTCTTTTGTCTCATAAGTGTGTCAACATATTGCATGAAATACAATTAGGTAATAACAGAAAATGTTGTATTCCAGTTAGGAAAATCTGAGAGTTCTCAAAGGATTCTCAAGGAAATTACACCTATGTTTCAATAATTCAGGTTCAGTAATATCAGTGTATTGAAAATGTATTAGTCTACCTCCTACTATTCTATTTTTATAGCTACATTTGTGTAGCAGAAACTATCTCGATGAATCATAATAGACAACATCAATTCATTACCTTTACTGCTCACTATTTACTTTGTTTTACATAGAACTAGATATACATAACACTACTATAATTGTATTTCTTAATTTTGTTTTCACTTTATGATATAGTAATAGATCATTACTTCTTTATATTACATTTCAGACCAGCACACTTCTTTATAGGTAACTGTTAAGGCAATAAAATTAGACACTGTTAATAAAAAATTTCTAAATTAAAATGTTAATATCAAGGTTAGAACTAAAAAAAAATGTTTTGAATGTGCTAACAGCAGAGAAAATGGACATATTTTCTTCCTCTGATCAAATAGAAGCTGCTTGTTTGAATACAGGTGGATGCACAATACAGCACTTCAGAAAAGGACACAAGACTTGGGAAAAAGCTTAGACTTGCAAAAGGCTGCTGTAAACAGCAGCTGCCTCTAATTTTGGATAGATACGTAGGAACAGCTCCACTTCAGATCGAAGGTTCAAATGAAGTGTAGAAAAGTAACCTCACATTTCTTCATTTATTTAAATTTAGATGTTTTAATTGAAATTTTGAGATGTGTTTAAATTTAATGGTTCTGACCTTTTCACTTTTGGATTCGCCATTGTTCTTGCTTATACAGGCGGCAGATGTATTGCTACTGTTGTGTATTGCTACTGCATATGCATGGGTATTATTCAAAATTTTATGCAAATTTCATACTTCTGTTTCACAAGAATAATTTTTATTATTATTATATGTTCATTAAAAAACATCTTTATGGGCTGAATGCATATCTTTGCCTGACAGTTTTACAAATATTAACAACAGTTTAGTGTATGATTCCAATTACTTTTTTGGGGAAAAAAATGCAATTCCTTCTATAAAAGTTTCTGATACCTGTAGCATAAAGATAACACATTTAATTAAAATAACTTACTGATATTAGTAGAACACACAGAATTCAATTTAACTTCATTCATAGAATATACTGTGACTTGTCTGTATGCTAGCTCTTAAGGACCATTTTCACTTTTTTGCTGTTGCTAAAAATTGTATTTTATTTAGATTATAGGAATGGGTTTCTTTTAGAGTTAGTATGATATGTCTATTTTACACAGAGAAAAAGAACATGTATTTGTCAGATTTAATAAAATTAATTTAGAAAAATAGTTTAGAAGTTTCTAAAGTGATAAGAATTTGAGAGAAATAATGTATTCTGTGATTTTTTTTCATTTTAAATTACTGAAGAACATTTTATTTATCAACAACTGGAAAGTCTTAAAACATAGAAGAAAATATTTATACATTTTTTTACTTACTTGGGGAAAATTAATTTATATTTTATTTTCCTTACTATTTTTGCATCTAGTCTTTGTGGGCACAAAAAATGAATTTTACCTTCTGTAGTCAGTTTAGTATAAAAACAAGAAAAATTTCACAGTGCCCATAATGTTTCATATACCCAGTCATAAATTTATAACTTCACTGAGTACTTAGGCCTCAAAGATAAAACAGAGTCAGTCGATAGTAAGACATATTTGTAAGAAATAATACCTGAGGAACTATCACACTGAAATATTTCTTTTCAATTTCAGTCTATATGTAATGAAAATCAAGTGCTTGCTTTTCTCCTGATTCTTCAGAGAAGTTTTCTTCGTTTGTCTTGATTACTGCATGGCAAATCTATTAATTTTATTTAAATATTTAGATAAGTGCTTGAGCATTTACTAAAATATGTCTCAGTTCTTATTCAGTTCGGAGAAATGTGAATCTTCTCTGGAAGGTACTCAGTATCTTACTGTATCAAAACTTTAAAATACTATTATATAATGATTGTAATTGTTATATATTTTATCATAAATAATGAGAATTGATAACAGCATGTTCTGTTTGGGTTTTGTTTCTTTGTTTTGTGCTGTGCTAGCTGTTAGCTGTGGTCACCCTGGTAGTCCTATTTATGGAAGAACAAGTGGAAATGGTTTCAACTTCAATGATGTTGTGACATTCTCATGTAATACTGGGTATGTTATGCAAGGACCAACCAAAGCACAATGTCAGGCTAATAGGCAGTGGAGCCACCCACCTCCAATATGCAAAGGTAAGAATGCAAGCATTTACAGATTTCAAACTCAGTTGGAAAATTAAGGTTGAAAAATAAACTGAACGTAAAGGGACATTATCAAGACAAAATGATGCCTCCCTTACTAATAGGCATCAAATTATTAAAGAAGATGTTTCATGATTCTACAATTCTATGATATTTCAGTTAGGTCTGTTCTACGTTCAGGTTGCCAGGATAACTGTTGCAGAGAAACTTCCTTACGTGTCTGTAGTTTGTATTGATTTTTTAAAATGGTTTCTGTAAGTTCCTTTTGCAAAATTTTACAGAGATGATTAACAGCTTAAACCCTGAAATAATGTTCTCTGCATTTTTAGCCAACATAGTTCTAACAGGTGCATAAGAAAACATACCTTTTTTTCCTTTTACATTTCCATTGATCTAACTGCTCATCTTGACTTTTTAAATTTTTATTCTAATTTGTTAGCCTAATTCATTTGGGTTGGTTCTCAACAGTTCTGGATATTATATTTAGAATTCTTTCACTGAAAATAAAAGACTATTAGGAAATTAGTTCTGTTTGAGTTTTCATAAGCACTTTTAGGAAGGTTTTATCACCATTGTCCTTTTTAACTCTGTTGTTATGTGCTTTTTAAATGTTTTAATTGTTCTCATTTAGAAAAGTCTACTTTTTGCTGTAATCTGCTTGCATGTATGCAGAAATTGTATTGGTTGTTTTTCAGCATCTTCCCAGCAGCTTCTATGGATTTTTATCTGTACACAGCCGAAGTCATGTTATGTATTTATATTAACTTTATTTACTATATTTTCCTACCAATAGGTGTTCTCCACTTTCCTTTAATCACTTTGCCTTAAGTGATACTGCCAAATAGGTTACAGACCTTAAATTTCCAAGGACCTTTTTGTTGATAAGAAGTTATTATTTTTTAAATTTACAATACTAAACATGTACTGTGTATTAAGGGTACCTAATAAATCTCATTTTCAGTCCAGTTGCTATAAATCACCTCTGTGTTCTGGTATTGCAGAGTAATGTGCCAAACTGTCTGATATGTTATTGGCCTATAGGGATCAGTAAATAAGTTGATCAGGTTATTCTTTGAAATTGTACACAGTCCTGAAATCTTCTATGGGTTTTAGAACAGACTTTAAAAAGAACCAACTTTGTATGCAACATTATTAGTGGTGTCTGTAATGTGCAGTGAAATAAATTCTAATTAATATGATTTTGTTCTATTTGCATTGAAGTAAATAAAAAAACATAAAGATGTTACCTTGCATATTTGTAAACTGCTTAAAGTGCCATATTATAGAAAAGGCTGCACTCCTTTGTGAAGGCTGAATTTACAATTGTCATATAAATTCAGCACTGCACTTGCTGTTATACTGTCTACAACTTTCCTAAGTAGCTAGTTTCCTAGCCAACTATAATAATAGTGGAAAACTATTGAAATGGTCAAAGCTCCTTGTATTTTCTTTGAAGTGTTCACTACTCCAGATTTATTAATAGAAAATTTTCATTGCTTAAAGTACATGCTTAATAACATGAAAGTGAATGTTCAATTGTTATAAAATGCTTGTCTACAAAAATTAAGATGGATAGAAATATAGCTCAAATTTTCCTCCAGGAAAAAAAAAAACCAACAAATTTTCAACACTGTTCATCAATGTAACTATAAAAATTGACCTATCATTTAATGTTAAAGAACTCAAATCCAACCAGAAAGTTATTTCTATCCTTGAAAAATGTATGTACTCTAGTCTTGTGGTACCAATATTTGCGAACTGCTAGGAGGACCACACAAGCAGACTCCAAGATTTAGAACAGTGACTAGACAGATGTAGGTGAGCCATAAAATAACTACATTGACTGATGTAGGTAGGAAAAATGATCTTAAATTGCATCTGGCAATAGCTTTTTTTCAGAGGTTTTTAGCATATTTTGATACTTTTATGTACACACATCCATGCACATACACACAGAGATATATATATATTTGCACACAGGTATGCATATAAACATGAAATTGATTATAAGGATATAGGGATAGTAATTTTTACAGGAACTGTAGTTTTCTAGAGTAACTTTGAGTAGGTGATGTTGTGTTTACTTGACCAGAAGAGTCTATTGCATGGAAACTGTTAAAAAAATCTCCACGACCCCCAAGATAAGTATTATACTCCCCTCACCAGACAGCTGTAAGTTGCAAAAAAGGAAAAAAAAATAAAAATCAATCTTCAGTCATTTTCAAACATATGAATCCTAAAGAAGTTGAGGACTCAAAAAATCTATCAGTATTCTTAACCATCAAAGTATACCCCTATTTTTAAAAGCACATACCCATTTGTTGGGATATTTCCCTGTTCTAGCAGAATCATCACAATCTTACCTAACTGACCATGTGCCCTTTAGCTCAAAACATCTGCATCAAAGGTCCTCCATTATCAAAATGTTGTATAGGAACGTAAGTATATTTGCATGGCTCTGTGGGTTAGACCAAAGGCATATCTAGCCCCATGACCTGTTTTCTATCTGTGTGCAATAGTTTTTGTCAAGGCCAGAGTATAAATTGAATATATTGGTATGTTCAGTCACTCTTAGTGGCAAATGCTTTTACAGCATCATCACACTTCGTGAAGAAACATTTCCTTTTATTGGCTCTGAGTTTAGCATCTCCTGGTTTTAGCATCTCCTGGTTTTAGCATCTCCTGGTTTCATATCATCTTCCTAATTCAGCATCATTATATATAAAATCAGGGTAGGAACACACTGGAAGTTTCTCATACAAAGGATAGGAGACCATTTAAAGAGCATTTTTGTAGACTGTGTTTGTATGAGTCAAGTCTGTGCTCTTTTTCTTTTTAGTGGTCAATTGTTCTGATCCTGGAATTCCTGCAAATTCTATAAGAGAAAGTAAAATCGAACATGGAAATTTCACATATGGAACAGTGGTATTTTATGACTGTAATCCTGGATATTTTTTATTTGGATCTTCAGTTTTAATTTGTCAACCAAATGGCCACTGGGACAAACCTCTGCCTGAATGCATTAGTAAGTAGATAATGTGTATGCTTCTGCAAAGAATGTGGACTAGAATAGGTATTATTTTACACATTTCCATCAGTCTCATGACAGCAGTTAGAATCATCATATTTACATACATTTGTGTGTGTGCAGTAATGATGGAAGGTCTCAGTAGCAGCTGAAGTAGCACAGTTATCTTGTTACTGTATGTAGCAAGTAACATAGAAACCTTGAGAAATGTAATAACCCAAACAAACATCTCTGAATGCTTCAGCACAATGATCCCTGATAGCAGGGATAGAAAGTCAAAACATATCTGTTGACTTTGCCAATACGTGGCCTCCATTCGCTACAAATATAATCACACTGAAATTTAAAATCTGTAGTACCCAATTATTGACTTATGTCACTATAGTACTTTCCAGACTTCTCATGTGACAACCACACGATCAGACTATCTGTGAAGACAGTAAGCAAATAGTAATGGCACTGTAGAGCACCAAAAATGTCCTCTGGATCCTGTCCTCAGCTTACCACACTACCAGATGTACCTGAACAGCATAGTCATATGCACCCTGTCCACTAAGGCACATGGATCAATACAAGGAGGTTGTTTTTGTTCCAGCTTGTCATGAACAACGTTCTAACTGTGAGGCAGATATAGCCACAGATGTTTCATAGGTTTTTAAAATTGGCTGGGACCACTGGTTTACCCAGTTCTCTATAAGTCTATGAAAAAGTTTTGGTTTAGGATCAAAATTTCTCTCTGAGAAAGGCTGAAAGCTTGTTTTTCTAGAGATTAAAGAGAAAACAGGCTAAGGGTTCCTTATTCACGAATCATGGACTGATATTTGCAATATTGTAGATATTAGTTCTCAGTTTTACCGTAATTAGTCTTCCTTAATTGAAGTTTCTCCAGTTCTGCTATTATCTCTCTAAAATAAAAAATCTGAAACTTTATTTCTTATTACTGTTAAAACCTTTAGTTCTGGAAGTTTTCCCTTTCTTTGATGAGATAAGTAGTCTGCACATTTTTCCACTGTAAGAGCAATGGAAAAGAAGTGGAAGGCTTTCTGGATGTTTTTCTTTGACCCAGGTTGGATTTTTTTTTTTTTTTTTACATAGCTGGAATTCAATCTCTAACCAGTCTCAAAGAACATACCTTTTTTTGAAATATCACTAGAAAAATGGACAAGAGACATGGTAACAAAGGAAAAGTTGTTCACCTGTAAAGTGACTCAATTCCTTTGAAATGTGTTGTAGCTGGAGTAGTTCTAGCTACTATAAATCCTGTAAGAAGCAGAATTCAGTGTTGGCCTGTACCATAATGCCCTTTCAACTCCCCCTTTGAATTAAAGACTTTCAGGGGCATACACTACTTAGGCACATGTTCCTAGTAAAATACTTCAAATTTGAAATGTACTCAAAATGAAAGATAAGTTTGGACAATATACCTCAAAGAATTCCAGTGACCATATCAGGGGTTTTTGTATTGTAAAGTACTCTCAAGATATTTCTGATAGACATGTTCTGATTTGTTATTTTTAAGCAACTGAGATGTGAGTACACACAATCCACACCTTCCAAGCTTGAAATCCAAATAATGTAGATTGTTTTTTTACTGGTGTCTGTGTCATCTTCTCAATAATTGTATTGCAGCGCCCTATCCTGACATTTCTTCCCTCACAATATGACATATATAACCATTCCCAGCTGTCAGGTAGAATGATAAGAATTGTTGACAACTGCACAGATTAAAGAAAATTCAAGTGTATTTTTAAATTCAGTAGTCAAGAATTAGGGTATAACATTTGTAAATTTAATTGAGCATACGTATATTTAATCAGGCTTTAACCTAATAACGGATGTAATTTTACTGTAAGTCATCACATTTGACCAGAAGAGGATGTGAATTTATACTTCTGTTTTTCCAGAATGTCATATATCTCATCCATAATCAGTACTAGCTATATTGTTTTGGGGGATTTTTCAGGGAAAAAGAAATAGCTGTTAAGATGTCACACTGGCAAATAGCGTATCTTTCTCTCAGAATTTCTCTTTTTTTTTTCTAAGGAAAGTGAAGTTTTGGTGTGACAGAAATTGATTGATAATTATCCATAATAATGAAAAAATATGATTTGATCTGACATTTTTACATACTCTGAAGAAGATTAATAGTATTATTCTCTTTTATTTTTCTTCTTCCTTTATTATTTGCTCTTTAAATCTGAATCAAAGTTCAATGTAAAATTAAATTTACACACTTATAAAATGTACTGTGCAGCTACGTGATGGAACAGGACTAGATCAGCTGGCAGATTTTTAACGACACTTTCCATAGAGCGCAAGAGCTCTCAGTCCTCAGGTGTAAGAAACCAGGAAAGGAAGGCAAGAGACCAGCATGGATGAGTTGAAACCTACTGGTCAAACTAAAGGGCAAGAAGGAAATGCACAGACAGTGGAAGCAGGGACAGGTATCCTGGGAAGAGTAGAGGAATGATGCCCGGTTGTGTAGCAGTGGGGTCAGGAAGGCCAAGGCATGGGTGGAGCTGAACTTGGCAAGGGATGCAAAGAATAGTGAGAAGGGCTTCTGTAGGTATGTCAGCCAGAAAAGGAAGGTCAAAGAAAGTGTACCACCCTGATGAGTAAGACTGGCAGACTGGTAACAATGGAGAAGGGGAAAGGTGAGGTACTCAATGACGTTTTTGCCTCAGTCTTTACTGGCAACCTCTCTTCCCACACCTCTTGAGTGGATGGACCACAAGACGGGGACTGACGGGGCAAAGTCCCTCCCACTGTAAAAGCAGATCAAGGTTACCGGCTGTATGTATAGGAAAGCCCAAAACTGAATGCTGTAAGGTACCAGTATGAAATTAACTTTTCCTCTATGACAACATCTGAAAAGAGCAAAAGAATCAATCAAGAAAAATACAGATAATAAAAACACTCTGAAAAATTGTGAATGTTTTTCAGAAGAAGAAATAGTTTCATTTCATTGAAGCCTCCGTGACCAACAGTCCTTTTTATTAAGTCTTCTAAGTTTGCCTTCTCTACAATCATACATAATTAATAGTATATTTTATTTATAAGTAATTGATTAAACAAATAACATGCTAACAGCAAGTGCCCAGTTTGTAAAGCTGACCATTCTGATCATTTTACTCAAAGTCCTGCAAGCCTGTAAAATGCTCACAGGGGTCAGTGGCACTAGGTAGGAAACAAAATCAGTCAATCACATACCACATTCCTAAATCCTTCGTGGGGTTGTCAGGAATGTTCTGCACCTTGCAAGTTGGACTCCTAAGGGAACATGTGTCATTGAACACAGATCAGCACATGTATAAATGTAAAGCTCTAAGACTTAGAATAATCATTAGAGAAAGATCATCACGCATGACTTTAGTCATATGTTGTATTGTACAACCCTTGTACTGTATCTGAAGTGCTAGGCAACTGAATCCGTCCTCAACCCTGATCAGTCTTCTGATCTGGCTTTTTTTTTTTTTGATAAAAAAATCCTGCTGAAAATGTTATGGTATTGAAGATGATGAAGTATTGATAAAAACTATATTTGTATGATTTAGGGGGCTGTTCTAGTACTCTGGTATTTGCGGCTATAATTTGTGGTTTTCATGATGCATAAATACAAATATCTTTGGCCAAGATACGCCACGTGCCATGGACGGGCGTAAGAAGAAAAGAAATCAAACATGCAAGGCTAGATTCATTCTTTGAACAGAGTGAACTTGGTTTATGAATTTTAACTGCATTTCCTGAACTCGACATATTTAGCTTCCTTCTAGATTAACTCCTTACACTGAATTCTTAAAGTTTTCTCTATATTAATTCCACATGTGAGGGGGGTTCTTTTGTATATTTTTGGTATGTGCTCTTAATCGTAAAAGACAGACAAAATATTTCTTTTCATTACAGAACTTCATTTCCATTACATACATTGTCCATGTAGATCATGTTCTCCATAATGATGTGTAAGACCTTTTGTCATTTTACTTTAGTCTTATGGAGTAGCTAGCTTCCTCTTGATCTAGCCAAGGTAGCTTCACTGTTACTTTATACAACTTTCCAGTAGATAGGAGGCTGCTGAAATTATTTCAGTGGTGTTATCCTGATTTTAGATCAGGTTTTTATTCCTAAAAAAAATTACTGCTTTTGACCATTTATAGCAAGAGCCACTTATCATAGTTTTCTGTATCAGAGGCAACTAAAGGACAAAAGATATCATGCTAAATTTTCCCATTTTCTTTTCTGTGTTTAAGTACTTCATGACATTTGAGGCAGTTAGCAAAATTATGTGTGTATAAGCTAACTGTTTGATACCCTTACGTGCAATCTGTAAGTGGAAATCACAAAAATGTCAAGATTAAGAGCACTAAAAATTAATCACAGTATGGAAATAACTACAATTATTGATCAAAATTTATTCAATAAACAAGTGATGTGGAGTTTATCCATGACCATTTCTAAGATTGGGATCCTATAGAAATTCCCTCCAGTCTCTGTGCAATTAACATCAATGGATGATGCCTATGTTAAAAATATGTAAACAAATACTTTATTTATGCAATACAATATTTTAAGTAACCAAAACCATGAATATGAAATTAGTATATTAGTATTAAGGTTCATAGAAAATTTAGCAAAAATGATCTTTATAAACTTTATTAGGTTTATAAACCTAATAGACTTCATGACCAATGATTTGGGACCAGTGGATGAGAGATGAAGGTCTGCATATTTCCCACCTCAGCAGTGACTTTGGCAGATACTGTCTTCCTGTATTTTTCCTCCGAAGAGTACATACATGAGTGCGTATTTGTGTGTGTGTGTGCATGTATTCATGCCATAATGATCAACTTCATGAATGAGTGTCTTTGGACATCAATATCTATATCTAAAATACCTTTTTGACATCTCCAAACATTTGTTTCACAGCTTTTGGTCTTTAATATATTTGCATTTCTAATCACATACTGTGTCCCCTTCTCCCAAGCCCTAAAAAGGTCAGCCTCTTCACAAAGTTTATGTATGGAATTATGAAAAATATAACTATGATCTGTTTGATCAGTGATAATAACCTTTTTTTATCTCCAATAATTATGCATTGTAGTGATTGACTGTGGCCATCCTGGCGTTCCTCCTAACGCGGTCCTGTCTGGAGACAAATATACGTTTGGGTCTACTGTTCATTATACCTGCACAGGTAAACGATCGCTGTTAGGGCAGTCATCTCGTACATGTCAGTTAAATGGACACTGGAGTGGATCTGTCCCTCATTGCTCAGGTAATATTTTTTAATTAATGAGAGTTCCCTGAAGTTGTTCTGAATTTACTTTGATTTTATCAGAAGGCCATTTTAAAATCTGGAAAAATCATGTATAAAACTGAAGTACTATTTCAGTAGAAGTAAAAAAAGTAAAATCAAAATGAATATAAACTTTTAGCAAGAAAATAATTTGGGAGAAGTAGGCTTTCTCAATGACATTTAATACTAATAGCAGACTGCACATTCAATAGAATGTTAAAGGAACTGGTTTGTTTTGAAAATATTTTCTGTGTGACTTCTGAAGAGAGTATTAATTTCCACAGGGAAACCTTGCATTTCTTCAAGATGATGGGTTAATTTATTTTTTTTTTAATTTCCAAAATATCTACTGACTTGATTACACCTCAGATATATCTTAATTGCATAATACATCCATCATTATAATAAGGCCAAGTGGGCTCCACATAATTTCAAGATAGGATGCTTGGTTTTTGAGGGAACGCCATCTAATCCTTGTAATAGATTAGCCCTCACCAAAGTCAAGATATGTTTTCTGAACAACTTAATGCTTAGGAATGTTCTGTTTCACAACTTCAGTTTGATTCACTTTAACAGCAGTGATCAAGTGAAAAACAGAAATCCAAGCCACACACTAATTTGGGCTTTGGCTAAATCCCATTTCTTATCTTAGAGCATGTAAACACAGATTGTGATAGAGGTTAATCATGTTATCAGTTTTAATTCTCAATAAATACTAGGAGGAGGTTCTTTCTTGTCATGCTCATGTTTCCATTATATAGTTTAAAGAAATCAGTGGGGTTTTGGACCTTATTCAGACCTGTGTAGTTCAGACTACTTCGATATCTTCAAAGGCAGAAAATAGGAAGTAAACAAGCAACAATTTTTTTCTTGGATTAGAGCTATGCCAAAACAAGAGGTGAAAAATAACCGATATACAAATCTCACAGTACTGCTATACCAGTTTCACACTAAAAATCCAACGTTCTTTACAATGTTAGTAAATCATAGAATGGTTTGGGTCAGAGACGACCTTTAAAAATCATCTAGTCCAAGCCCCTAGCCATGGGCAGGGACATCTTCCACTAGAATGATAGAATCATAGAATCATAGAATGACAGAATGGTTTGGGTTGGAAGAGACCTCCAAAGATCATCTAGTCCAACCCCCTTGCAATGAGCAGGGACATTTTCCACCAGACCAGGTTGCTCAAAGCCCCATCCAACCTGGCCTTGAACACTTCCAGGGATGGGGCATCCACAGCCTCTCTGGGCAACCTGTTCCAGTGTCTCACCACACTAATCGTTAAAAATGTCTTCCTTATGTCTAACGTAAACCTACCCTCCTTCAGTTTAAAACTGTTGCCCCTTGTCCTGTCACTACACGCCTTAATAAAAACTCTCTCTCCATCTTTCTTATATATTTTATATATTGAAATGCTGCAGTAAAGTCTCCCAGGAGCCTTTGCTTCTCCAGGCTGAAGAGCCCCAACTCTCTCAGCCTTTTTGCATCGGAGAGGTGTTCCAGCCCTCTGATCATTTTTGTACCTTCCTCTGGACCTGTTCTAGGAGGTCCATGTCCTTATTGTTACTGGGGACCCCAGAACTGGATACAGTACTTCAGGTGGGCTCTCACATATTCAAATCCTTTTTTCTTAGCTCTTGCCTTCATCTCTTTAGTGTATTCAGGTATAAACAGATTATGTCAGCTGCAGTTTCAGAATATGCCTTTTTTTACAGCCTATGGCACAGAAATGGTAAAAAAATAAATATTAAAATAGTGTTTCTTGGTTAAAATCTTGCACTAAATTCCAAAGGGTTGGAAGAATTTTTCAGTATCTGAACCTTCCACTGCAAACTTTTAGGCAGTGGTTGCAGACAAGGACAATCCAAATGTTATTATCTTGCTCTATGAGTTCTTCTTCATTCAATAATCTGCTATTACAACCTAAAATGTGACAGAAACTAGAAAATGTGAACATCTTATCTAATCCCTTAACTTTCTTCAAATAAAATCAGAGGGAAATTTGCTGCAATGGGAACAAAGATCAAGTTCTTACAACCTGTGATGTTTAGAGCTATGCACCAGAAAGCAAACTTTAATGTAAAGTAATATTACTTAATAAATAATGATATATTTATGTGAATTGGAAATTCAAACTAGGTTAATAAAAAATGGGTTTTTTACAGTTAGTATGCATACTTATTTGTTTTGGGGAAAAAAATCTTCTTCAGGTATAATCTAAGGGTACTTATTGTAGTTTTCCATAGTCTTCATAAGAAAAAAAAAATCTAATTTGTGAATTAAAAAAAAAAAAAGAAACAGACAAAAATATCAAGGAATACAAATAGGAAACCTGGAAATGTACATGAAAATATCAAAGAAACATTCCTGAAAATAAAACTATTGTATAATCATCCTGCTAATGAATGAAATAAGTGTTCAAGTGTCTTGGGATAAGCATTCATGAGGTACATGAAAATCCTTTTTTTTTCTAATGATGATTTTTGTATCCACAGATAGAAAACTCTAATCAGATCTAATTAATTTTTCTCAATACATGAAGAAACATTTCTTTGACATAGATTGAAATGTTAATTACAGGAAATCAAATTGTTAGAGAATAAAAATGGTTATTTTCTTCAGCTGTACTATACCAAAATAGAATTCTAGCTTAGGAAAAATTTGAGACTTTGTTTTCAAAGTGTATTAAGACTTTGTTTTCAAAGTGTATATCTGAAATGATTTCTCATTTTAAAATAATTTGCAGTTTACCGGAAGAATTTCCATATTTTTAATCTAAAAATATGTGAATCATTAGCTTTCATTATTAGCCTTGATAACTTGATTTCTTCATTTTTAACACATATTAAAGCCTTAAACTTCGTAATTTTTTGGTTTAATAATAAATAATACAGTATGTTAATCATATTAATAATAAATATAGATATTAATAATAAATAATATAGAATGTTTGACTGACAAAAGAGACAGCATGCTTGTCCTTTTCATATATGAAGAAGAATTCAAATGGAAAATGCTAGGTCAGCAAACATAAGGTAACCAAATTTTGTTGCATCGTCCCAAAGACAGTTTACTTCTTGTCACATGGCACTTTATATTTCACATCCTAGAGCTAGAAGGAATTGTCATGTCCCATTGATATCTACTGGCATTCAGAAATACAGTTTTCAGTCATTACATGCATATCAGCTGGAGTCAGAAATCTGCAGCAACTTAGAATTCTTCATAAGTGCAGCAATGGTTGTGTACTTACTTAAGTGGTCTAAATACCCTCCTTTTCATTAAGATTAAATGCCAACTGAGAATTTGTTACACCTGTGGGTGAAGGATGGCTCATAACTGGCTGTGAAAATCAGTTAGTTGAATCTCTGAATGTGATATCATTGATTATATCACTGTCACTTCCTGATGTGATTAGTCATTTAGAAAAATTATTTCTGTAACCTTCAATCAAAAGAGCTGGCGGTTAGCCTCCCTAAGACTAAAAGAGTAATAATTCACGGTAATAATTAGGCATTAGGAAAGAACACATGATTTCATTTACAAGAGGAATATGTAATTTATACTTGGCACAGCAAAAAGCCTATTTTCATTTTTTCATCATAAAATTATTTTAGGCATAATGCCAAGTAAGTTGCCGAAAATGGAGCTGTTGCTGTAGAGATTTTACAAGTATAGAATAATGAATAGGCCCTGTCCCAAATTCTTCATAGTCTAAATAAATAATACTGGAAAATATAAAATATGGATTCCTGAAATAACAAAAAAATCTTAATCTAGCACATTTTTAAATTACTGTAAAAATACGTAGCAGACTATTTTCAAACTATAGGGATTTCAAGTCACCTAAGTAGCTTGGACATGAAGTATTTTGAAAGCTTGTAAAATTCTTTTACTTACTGTAATTTGGAACTATTTACAGTTGCTTTTTAAACAGGCTGGCAGGCTGCTTTACTGATCTGTGTCACATAATGAAATGGTAAAGAGGGAAGACCCTAAACTTTTGAGTTTGTGATTTTGAACCAGACAGTCAGCTAACCCTTATACTTACTTGAGTTAATTTGTTATTTCTGAAAGCATTAAAATTCATAGGACCATGTACTTTTTGCACATACATGCTATAAAAGTTCACAATGTAATAGGCAAGACTACATTGTTTGATTACTGTCAAATGAAAGGTGTCAGTTTAAGCTTGGTTAACTTAAGTAATGATAAAAATTGGCTCCTAAATTAGTGAGAGTGGATCATAATTAGCCTACTTTGTCAGCTGCTTCAGCAAGGGGTTGGATAGGTAGTGTGAGCTTCCAGGTTTGCTCTCTCATGCTTTTCCAGGCAAAGTTCCGCCCTTTTCTTTGACTCTCCAGATGTGCCTTCAGACTGAGACTCCATAGCTGCATTCTCTTTTCCCACACGCCTATAGGAGTTGTGCAGATCAGCTCCTGTGAGGTGCTTCGTTATATTGCTTTTCAATGGATTTGTGGGCAAAGAGGGAAGCATGGCCTATATGAAAGGAAATAAAAAGTAGCAAGCCTGACCTACAAAACTGCAGGTTGGCACATGAACGACCTTCATAAGTGACAATAATATAGTCAGCTTCTTGGACGTATTGGACTAAACTAAATATTTGCTCATACACCATAATTCTCAATGCAAAGTAAGCTAGTTCTACTCTTCTTCCTTTCACTATTCAGTTCTGTACATGCTTTTGTTAGTAAAGAGATGTGTCCAACCAGTCACTCCAACAGTATTCTTTACACACATACAGTGCCAACCAAGGCAAGGGAAGCTCTGTTTTTCTCTGCATCTACAGCTCCAGGGTCCTAACTTCCTAGAGAACCCCTAGATAGTGAGTTTGTCACTTTTGGTCTTCTGGGTACTCGGAGAAGAGAACTTTGTTTACTACTTCTATGTAAGAATTTCTGTTATTACTGCTATTTAAGCTTAGATAAATACCAGAAAAGTATGGGTATTCTACAGAAAGCTTTCTTTAAATAATTTTACAAAACTTTTGATATAATTGTCTCTAATGTGAAGTTCTAATATGACATTCTTCAGCAGTTGAATTAAAGCTTTCTAGCTGATTCATAAAATATTTCTTCTTTATTTACATTAGTGTAACTAAGTACAAAATAATGCAGATATGATCTCAAAAATATTACAATGTTTGAATTATTTTTGTTTAGAAGACTGTTCAGTTTATTTGCAAGTTGTCACAGAAAAGTGTAAGCTAAATATCTATGGGTGAAAACCTGAACAGTGCAGCTCCAAGAATTCTAGAATTCAACTCTTTTGTGTTGAAACTCAGTAATACCATATGCCTTCATCTCATTACATAGAAAACTAGCTTAAAGACCTTTAAAAAGATAAACCAGCAGATCCTAAGTACATATTAAAAGATTTAAACAACTAACCTTCTGTGCAAATACAGTGTTACCTAGAGCTTCCTAAAAGTTCTCACCATAAATGAAGATTTAGATGTATAATCTTAGATATTGTTATTAGTATGATGACTATGTTGATTTTTTTTAACGTTGATATACAACAGATAGTAGAAAACATTAACCCTCTATCTTGGAATTTGCTTAAACATTTCTAGCTGAGGGAGATTTTAGCTATCGGGCAGTCTTGAACTTTCAACATTTCTATAAATCGGGGAAATGCTTCATGTCAGATGTACATAAAATTGTTGACTAAAGCTTTCATTGAATCGTAAAACTGTTACAACTCTAATGATATCATAAAACTAGGAAGTATTTTATGAACACTTGCTATAAGCAAACAAGAAAATTATATTTATGATCAGGACCTTGGTTTTCCTCAGAATTTGTTATTTTAAATAAAAAATAACCAAGGTTTTGTGGGTTTCTTTTTGTTTCCCTATTCTTGTTTGATGATTTTGTTACCAAAAGTGTAGCATGGTCTAAGGGGAATCTTGAGATAATTATAATTTCTGTTCTGTACTTACATAATATAAGTAAAAAGAAATTATTTGAGAATCAGGTAATTCTGTAATTATAGGGACTCACACCCATTGAGATATGTGTTTTTTCTAAAAATATAAATATAAATATGAATTTATTTATAAATACATAGAAACATGTATTTTCAATGCAGTATCGTAATAATATTTCATATTTACTCTAATCTTTGCACTCTTAAATTCTAGGTGATACAGCTGATTCTTGTGGTGATCCAGGTATCCCAGGTCATGGGTCTAGAGAAGAAAACAATTTTAAAATTAAAAGCACCGTACATTTCAGTTGTGATGTTGGATATATCCTCCATGGCTCAGAAGAAAGGACATGTATGGCAAATGGAAGTTGGACAGGAAGACAACCTGAGTGCAAGGGTAAATCACAGAAGATCCACTCTATTTTTAAACTGTCTTGTTAAAAAGGCTAATCAGAAAAACAATTTTACATTGCCAGTTTTGTGTTGTGATTGGTATCCAGTTGAGGTCTGACCATTAACTTTGTTTTGAATAAGTTGTTACACCATAGCAATGGCTTGGCATCAGGTGACAAATTTGAAGTCAGTTCCTGGCACCCATGAAACTGCATGTTTTCAAAGTTTTGAGAAAAAAAAAGTATACTGAACTGTTTATTTCTTCTCAATCTTGTGTTAGTTTCAAATATATGTTATCCAGTACAAAAAACAAAACAGAAAAGGAAATAGATAAGGCCTGTAAAACTCAATTTCTGCTAAGAGATTTTTTCCCTTAAAAATCTCACCATCACCTGACCTTTAATTGCAGCCATTATACACCTGAATTTCAGAGAAAAGAGCTGAGTTTTAGGAAACTGTCAATGTCAGGCTTTCACTAGATACATCTATGTCATAAATGATTGGCTTAAAATTTTATTTACTAATACTGTTGACATTATTATTTTCCAACTGAAAATGAAATGCTGAAACAAGTTTATTTGGAAAAAATAATTCTAGAAATTTCAAACAAGATGTATTATCAGAAAAGAAAGCTCTAACAGGATATTTATGCAAAATCATTTATTACCTTAATTATCTTGATTCAAAAATAGGAAATAATTCCCAACAGACTCTTCTTCAAAGTAAAGCTTCCTGAAAAGCAGCAAATAACTTGAGAACCTGTACTCTTATTTTCCACTTTATCGCTGTTGACTGTGTTATCTGTACGAAATAGTCATCTCATTTTAAAAACTTATTTTACAAACTGGTTTTGTAATATCCTTTCTGCTGAATGATTGCCATCCTGACATGATGTAAATATATACATGTGTGTGTTTGTTGGTATCTGAAGGGATATGCTTAGCCCAACTGAACTTTCTGCTGTTCTTCTTTGATCTTATCTATTACAGAAATGAATTACCCCTTTTACATTTTATGATACTTTTGATGTTTCTTTTCCCCCTAAAAATCTCTTGAAACGATGGTTCTGGTTCACAGATAGATATATATATAGGTGTGTGTAACGCACACACAGGTGTATTGTTCTAGTTTAGGTCATATAGATTAGATGTATATATATAACCATATAAGAAAGAAACATTCAAATTCCAAAGTTAAGCATTGAAGAACTGGGAAACATCAGGCTTACACTTGCCTATGAAATAATGGTTTGACTCTATCCTGTAGGTAGGAAATGTACTTTGGTGATGCTATAAATGCATCTGTATATTTAAAGGCATCTATAGATTTAAATTAAGTCTACAAAGATAATTGTAGATCAGGCATTTCCTTATAATCAGGAGTTTGTCTTTGCAGCTAAACTAGCTTTCCTTGCAGATTTTAAAGTTAAATTTGTAGGCTGTGTTTCCCTATGTACAAAAGGGTAGAAACAAATAATTCATGCCAACAGCTATTTACTGTACAACACGTCTTATCAGTAGGTGGTGAAACTTGCATTTTTCAGGATAACAGCAGGGATTTCTACCACATAATACTGCTGGTAGCAGGATTGTCCTTAGACATTACTATTTCAAAAATAATCTTTACTACATTTTAAAAATATTTAACATTTTGCTTTATAGCTGTGCAGTGTGGTAATCCAGGAACAACTGCTAATGGAAAAGTATTTCGTATTGATGGAACTACATTCTCTAATTCAGTAATTTATTCATGCATGGAAGGATACATACTTTCTGGATCATCTGTAAGACAATGCACTGCCAATGGAACATGGTCTGGATCCTTGCCAAACTGCACAAGTAAGACACATCTCTAATCAGTCGTCTTCGTTTTTCTCTCCTCTGAAAGACAATAAAGTAAAATATAGAAGTTGGATGGAAATAAATGAAGTCTTCAGCTTTTTCTTGCACTACTTCATACATAATTTTGTACATGAAATACTTTTAAAAAAATATAGTGCTATGAGATGAAGAATATGTTTTTTTAAAGACAGACACATTATAGTAAAGTATATAGACTGCTGTTACAGTTTAAAAGAGTTGTATGGTTACATGATCTACCTACTTCAAATCTTTCCTAGTATATATTTTTAATCTTGTTTATGTTTGGTGATATGTCATGTTCAGACATTATTCATTTAATTGCTTTTCTTCATCGTGAAAACTTAGCAGTATAATATTCTGGTCTTCCAGAGGGCAGAAAATAAAAACCTTGAAATGAACGCTTGAGAATTCTTTTTGTAGTGACTCTGAGGTCAAAACTCTTGTCCCACTCTCACATAACATTTTCTGTTTGGCCTCTTCATTAACCTTATACTTGCTTTGGTTACTCAGCTAACAGAAGCTATTTCAGCTTCTCTTACATTCATAATAAGCATTTTGCAACAGTTTATTTTCAAGCCCATCTGTTCCTGCTTTATTACATGTCCTAGTTCATCTTTTAGTAACAATTATGAAAATTTCATATTTATGTGACACACGAGACTGCCTGTCATTTTGAGGAAACATATCCTCACCAGAGGTATAGCAAACTGTTGCTTAAATTTTGAACTAGTACCCTAGTTTTTGTAAAGTGCTACTTTACACACTTACAGCAACCCAAATAGAGGCCAAAAGTAAGAAGATTGATAAAGAAAACTTCTCCTTCTTGTGTTGTTTTTAAATCCATCTTTAATGGTAAGCATGTGAACAGCTGCTTTTGTAGTCAGCAAACCTGTGAAAGCCCAATGTTTTAGTTTATTTATTATTTTCCAAAGTTATAATGAGAACCATGTTAATTGTACCAAGGATAAAGGTGCTTTGTGATGGTAACTGCATCTATATTTTTTCTTGCATTTTAGAATTACATTTAGCTGAAGTACAGGCTAGAACAGTCTTCTCAAAAACACTACTCAGGTAGAAACTTGGGATTTTTGCTTAAAACCTAGAAAAATGTCTTAACAGAGAAAGTATCCTAATAAAACAAAGAGAGTCGTTGTGAAGATTATATGTAATAGAAAAAATATTCTTAATTTAATTAATATATAAGTATTTTAACTTTGTTATACAATAAATCTATTGACATTCCTAATACACAGTTTTCTCTGTTGTGATTACACATCTAAAAAGTATGTCCCCTTATATGTTTATTGGAGTGATAATGTTATTTAGGGGCTTTTAGTTTGGTATGTATCCCCTGGAGTGGTCAGAATATTAAAAGAACAGTTCAATGAATATCTTACCAAAAAAGGTAAGAACTCTGAGAATTTCAGCCTGACTCATTTCTGCCTTTTTGATCATTGCTAACTATTAACTAATTCCTAAAGGTGGGAGGAAGCACTACTATGTGCTACAATGTGTATCTAAGCTGATACAGGTAATAGCCGCAGCTCCAAAATACCCAGAAATGGAGAGGTATTTTACAGCACTGCAGAATGGCTGAGGTTGGCAGTCTCCTCTGGAGATTGTCTAGTCCAACCCCTCTGCTTGTGGCAGGATTAGCTAGAACAGGTTGCTCAGAGCTGTGTCCAATCTATGTCCCTTTCTACAGACCTTTATTCTACAGTTCCCTAGCACATCTAAATATAAAATAAAAATATATATATAAAAATAAATAAATAAATAAAAATACACTTCATCATACTTAACTTGCTATGTTCTCTCTTACAACAATATATCAATTTTAAATCACTAACAGATAATTAGCAAGAGTTAATGGACAATATTAGCTAAATAGCTAGTTAACAGATCAAGCATTACAGTCCCCTCTCTTTCTCCTGCCAGTTTTATCTCCAGGTCTATAAAATATGCCTGAAGAAGATTAGCTATTGTAAAGGAACAATTTGCTTATAATGACTTCAAAGTGTATCCAAAGCAGTAGAATTGGCAGTGCCAGCAGAATTTGTTGACAGGGCAGGTTTTATTTCATTTTTTTCCTAACTGTCCTTGCCATGCTGTTGTGGCTTAACCCTGGTAGGCAGGTAAGCACCACACAGAAGCTCACTCACTCACTTCTCCCCAGTGGGATGGGGCAGAGATCTGGAAGGGTAAAAGTGCAAAAACTTGTGGGTTGAGTTAAAGACAATCTAATAGGTCAATCAAAAGCTGTGCATGCAAGCAAAGCAAGTAAGCGATTCATTCACTACTTCCCATCAGCAGGCAGATGTTCAGCCATCTCCAGGAAAGCAGGGCTCCATAACATGTAGTGGTTTCTTAGGAAGACAAACACCGTCGCTCCAAATGTCCCCTCCTTCTGCAGCTTTTATTGCTGAGCACGTCATATGGTGTGGAATTTCCCTTTGGTCAGTTGGGATCAGATATCCCAGCTGTGTCCCCTCCCAACTTCTTGAGCAGCCTCCGCCTACTTGCTGACAGGACAGCGTGAGAAACGGAGAAAGCCTTGATGCTGTGCAAGCACTGTTCAGCAATAACTGAAACACCCCTACGTTATCAACACTGTTTTCATCACAAATCCACAAAACCATACGAGCTACAATGAAGAAAATTAACTCTATCCCAGCCAAAACCAGTACACATTCTCTCCATTTTTTACTATGACGAGATTTCCCAAAATTTGCTTATTGCCTGTTGCAGTCATAGAACCTCATGGAACCATTGCAGATTTCCAGAACAGCTTAGGCAAGCACCTGTCCCAAGTGGCTGTCACAGGTGACACAAAGTAAACAGCAACCCACAGTGGATCCGGATGTTGGTGTCCGTTTAAGAACCATGCAGTTTAGAGCTTTTACCTGCCTGATTATCTCACTCTTCCTCACTCCCCCTCAGGGTTACATTTGGGGAGCTCTCTGCTGTCCTGGAAAGGACGGGTTCAAAGTCCTGTTGGTTCATGCTGTGCCACTGCTCATATGAAACTCAGGTGTTAACAGTCAGGGTCATCCCCTGACTGATGTCCCCCAACATTTGTCTCCACACAGCTCTTCCTTTTCTAGGATCTTCCCCAAGTCCAGGATCTTTTCTTCGGACAAGGTCTTCACCTTCTTTCTGGGTTCCAACACCACTCTAAGAAGACACATAACACATATCAGCGTCCTAAGTGGTTGTTCTGTCCCCTGTCTCTATTAATAGGAAGATTCAGGATATGCCACTAGCATGGTTTAACCCCAGCCAGCAACTAAGCACTATGCAGCTGCTCACTCACTCCCCCCACACCCAGTGGGATGGGGAGAGAATTGGGGGGAAAAAAAGTAAAACTCGCAGGTTAAGATAAGAAAAGCTTAATAGGACAGAAAGGAAAAAAAAAAAAAGAATTGGAATATGCAAAACAAGTGATACACAATGCAATTGCTCACCACTCACCAACCGATGCCCAGTTAGTTCCCGAGCAGCAATTACCCTCCCCGGGCCAACTTCCCGCAGTTTATATACTGGGCATGACATCACACAGTATGGAATACCCCTTTGGCCACTTTGGGTCCACTGTCCTGGCTGTGTCCCCTCCCAACTTCTTGTGCCCCTCCAGCCTTCTTGCTGGCTGGACATGAGAAGCTGAAAAATTCTTGACTTAGTCTAAATGCTACTTAGCAACAACTGAAAACATCAGTGTGTTATGAACATTATTCTGATACTAAATCCAAAACATAACTCTATAGCAACTACTAGAAAGAAAATTAACTCTATCCCAGCCAAAACCAGGACAGCCACTTTTGTTTAGTCCAGGTGTTATCAAAATTTACAGCCAGCCTGTACTTATTGCAGCTACCAAGTAATGGGCTGCTTCTTGCGTATCACTGAAAATGCTGATTTTTGAGAGCTAACACTATAACAAAATAGCATAGATAATCTTATACCCCTTTAGACACTGGGAGTCCTGGGCTGTGTAGCGTCGAACAGACGCTGACCCACATGCAGCATGCTGTGCAGACCTTTTCCATAGCAAAGATTCTCCCATTTCGGTTGTTCAAGCTATTATAGGATTTTCTTACAAGGAAACAACTCTATCATTTCTACAGTCAAACAGAAACAATGTTCTTATGAGAACTTTTCCTGCACTGGTAGATAAAAAGCAAGGACGTGCAGCTGAGTGGGAGCTACCTGCAGCTCCTCTGTTGCAATGAGCTGACTGAGGTTGTGCCCTGGCCAAGGGATCTGTGCAGCACAGCACAGGTCTGAAGGCTGTGCTGGATGTGCAGCACAGTGCAGCACAGGCCTGGGGCTCCTCAGGTTACCTGTATTGTGAATCACTTACTTTTCAATGTACAATGGTCTTCTAGTCAGGATCACTACAATAATTTAAGCTGTTTTTTGCCTACCACAGTGACTTAAGTGGTAGTGGTCCAACTCTGGGTCATTGCATGGTGTGGTGGGTTGACCCTGGCTGGATGCCAGGTGCCCACCAAAGCTGCTCTATCGCTCCCCTCCTCAGCTGGACAGGGGAGAGAGAATAGAACAAAGGGCTCATGGGTCGAGATAAGGACAGGGAGAGATCACTTGCCAATTACCATCACAAGCAAAACAGACTGAACTTGGGGAAATTAGTTTAGTTTACTACCAATCAATTCAGAGTAAGGTAAAGAGAATTAAACCAAATCTTAAAACACCTTCCCCCCACCCCTCCCTTTTTCCCAGGCACAGCTTCACTCCCGGATTCTCTACCCACCCACCTGAGCGGCGGAGGGGGATGGGGAATGGGGGTTGGCATCAGTTCATCACTGATCATCAGATTTCTGCTGCTCCTTCCTCCTCAGGGGGAGGACTTCTCACACTCTTCCTCTGCTCCAGCGTGG